TACCACCTTAAAAAAATTCAAATCGTCTCAACCTGTTTGTAAGCAAGAGCAGATCAGCTGCGCGCAGGCGCCTTCAGACCACCCATGTTGTTAAAGACAAAGCGACAGCGGATCCGATTTGAGAATACCGCGGCGACAATTTACAGATTAGGCAAGAAAGGCAAGAGGGCAGAGGAGAAAGCACACATGTTGCGAGCTAAACGCCCTTTTGAAAGGTCATCTATTCTAGTGCTGAGATAGCTTTGTTTGCCCAAAAAAGCTTGATCTAGGCTGCAGAACCAAAACTTACAGCGTTGAATCCTGTGCAGAACCGATGTGAACGCAGGTCGTAGCGTATGCAGTGATGGCAGACGGGCGGATAGATGATCGAAGAAGTCAAATCCGGTCGGTGACGTGATCTCCCAGTTGAGGTTTGCCAGTACAAGTAGTTCCCAACTCTGAAACAAACCAACTTTCATGATGCTGCGATGTTAATCAGCGATGCATGCAAGCACTTAAAATGCGAACGTACCAAAACATCATGAACTTTGACGCTGTCCGCTGTGTAGTACGACACACGTGCCGCATTCATTGGTTGCGGCGCCTTCACCTTGCTAGCGATAAATAAACACACGCCAGCTAAGACCTATAATTATCGGGCTAAGTATAGCGATCGTATTGCAGTCGTTCAAGAAATAACGGAACAGAAAATCAGCTGACCTGAATATCTTGCCGGAATATGTTTTGTAGGGAGAGAAAGCGATCAATGAGGGACACCGCCAGCGGGAAGACGTCCGCGTCACATTTCTCCTCCTACAAAATCACAGCTCATTATTGAACACTTTGCAATCGAACCGATCTCAACTCTCACCTTTGCCACATCGAAAATCCATTCCACCGCCTGTTCGCGATGTATTGGCTCAATGTGCTCCTGGACGGCGGTGAAGTACAGATGATTTGACTTAAGGTTCTCCTGAAACAAACTGTAAATATCAGAAGCAGGTAGTAAGTGATTGAAACAGCAGGACAAACCTCCGCAATGAGCAGGTTCTCCAGCACGCGTTCATCTCGATGAATGGAACGATCGAGGCAACTGGGAACTGACGGATGCTGGGCTGTATTCAAGCGTACGTCGACTGTGGACGGCCGCTTACGGGACACCACGGTTGGCTGAACAAAACCATTTCATGCATTTCGAACTGATATAAATCGATGAAATCCTTCCTTGACCACGGTTTTACCAGTAAAAATTATAATTCCTGTAAAAAATCACTTTCACGGCATTTATATTACCGAGATTCCAAGTTATTTCACCAGTTGTTCTTTCTCAAAATCTAGAATCAATAGCTGAGTAGGCGTATCATTGTCAAAAATCTACGGGCGATCGCCTGCTGACAATGCGTAATTAGCGTCGGAACCGGTGGAACGCGGTGGTAGCTCCAGCCCAGCAGCAGCAACGGCCAGCAAACAAGCGCGCCCGCGCACCTGGCAGAGGTCATCTCAGCTCGATCGTAGATGAGCACATGCCATTACTTGAGTGATCATTCCTCAATCAACTTGTCTGATCATCATCTCTGCATCAGTGCCTGCTTTTTTTCTACTGCCAACGACATCAGCGATAGCGCGATGGTGAGGAAGGGCGAGCAACACGGAGGCGGGTCACCAAAGTGCAGCAGCGGCTACGACTGCGTAGAAAAACGAGTGGGCCACGATGAGAAATTCCTCTCAAGCTGTTCAAAAGACCAAAAGCAGGAGAGCGGGCCAGGAATAAGGGTCGAACCAGCGATAGCAGCAGCAGCAGTAGCGATAGGTACCGTCACAACCAAGGCAATTACAACTAGGTAACGTGTGCTACGAGTCATAACATAAAGAAACAGAGATGACACACACTGCAAAGCAGCATCTGGCGCGCATATGATGTAAGTCGCGGAGTACGCGCCACGAACAAAGAGAAACCTTGGACGCGCTGTGAGCCGATAGGGCACCAGCGGAAAAGGATGTGAAACGAGGTAAGACTGTGAAACGCATTCGCCTGCAAACCTACAACAAAAACCACATGTTTCTACTGCGGCGCTAAGGGGAAGTGGGTAAGGTTAAGTGATTGGAGCTGCCTCAAATATTAGAGCCAGCCTTTATTGTGGAAATAATTTATAAATAGCATGTGGGGGTACAAAATACCTAAAGCGTTCATCAAACTTGTCCGAGTAGGCCGAGTGAAGTCAAAGAGGTGTTCAAAAATTGGTAATTAATTTTCAGTATTTTTGGTTACTCATAACTGTTGAACGAGAAATGGGTACGAAATTGAAAAAAGTCAACAGTACCTGTCCATGACTGAGACGTCGTTGGTTTTTGTTTTGGAGCGACGGCTGGAAGAAACGACTCGGACAGAACGACGGTCGATGTTCGTTAGGATGCAGATTGTTGGCTATGTGCGTTCACGGTATTCAAATTGTATGATTGGAGCAGCGTGATCCGCGTGGATGGCGAATCGGAAGAGAACTCGGCACAACGAAGCGACGATGCAAGCTCGTCAGCGGTTGTCATCATCATAGCTCCTCGTCTCGTAGACACGAACACACCAGCAACAGCAACAGCAGTAGTAGCAGCAGAAACAGATCAACTCCGATCGGCACCACGACTGAAACGATTCACACCGATTAGGCTCCGCCTCCGATCGTACTCCTCTTCTGTCACTAATCTCGTACGTGATGAGATGTCTCGACATTTTCGGGTGTTTCTGACTAATCAGGCAATCTGTACGGGGAAGCGCCTAGCATAACATACCGTTCAGAGAAGTCGTATAACTTTTGAAATGTTGTCATTTTGCAAAAGGTATCACAATGGACAAAAATTCCTTGGAGCACCAGAGGTAACACCTTGGTACATCCTTAAGAAGTCCAATGTTTAGGAAAGTATGAGAAGGTGGTAACGAGGAGAAAGCGGTTGCCTTGATAGCCAAAACCAAGGATTTTGAAGAACTTTCGGGTATCCAAAGAAAGCATTGGTGGAAAGTAAACCGTTATGTAGGAGAAAGAGTACCAAGTATTCTCCTCAGTGGACAACTTGGGACGAAAAGGTTTACTCACAAAAGAGCCCACAATTTCAAGTAGGTTGAATGATAATCGGCTCTTTAATTGTTTAGGTTTGAAACACCGCTGGCAAACTTTGCGATTGAGGCCCTCAAAAATATAAGGAAGAGAGAAGTATAAGCTGGAAGTTTTGTTTTGAGGGCTATGGAAAACTGAAACATCAGCGCGGACCTTTAGAATGGTACACCCCCCCCCCTCCCCCCCCCCCCCCCCCCCCCCGCCAGTACCCCAAAGATGATTGTGTGCAAATGGCTGAGAACCCTGACGACGCCACATGAGGAAGTGGCACGAATTAGGAATGGTAGTGCGCGCAACAGTACGGGTTCAAGGGGCGGGACAGCAACAGCCTTCTTTAGCCCGCCCCCAACCTCTTCTCCGTTACCCCACGAAACAATGTTCGGCCACTCAAAGTTCCCAGTTAATAGTTTTTTATTTACTACGGACACAAATACATGCAGCATAGCATACTAAGTACAACACCCAAATTTCCGGAACAAATAAGTGATACCTAATTGTGTGTGGTGTACCATACTTTACGACAGTGAATATGTATAACAGAGAGAAAGACCTACTGCTAGCAATAATGACGTAATATTAACTGCACCTGATACCGACTTAAAAGGTCCACTGACAATTAAGTAACAAATAGCCCGCATATTTCACAGGTACCAGACAAATATCTCGTCTTGAAAAAAAACCATGTGCCTTCACTTTTTTTGCACTTCTTTAGATTTTAGTTAGAGAAGTAAGAAGCTAATTTAACAAAATGTAAAAATTACAATTTTGAATTTTTTGTTACGCCGGGCGCAGCTCATTTCCTCACCTGCTGCTAGGGGCTTGCATAAAAGGAGGAAATTAGGCGCTCATATCGTTAAAGGAGGAACACATGAGTGGAGCTCACTTACAGTATGCGCGCATTAAGTTGCTTAGGGGGAAGAGTTGCGGAAGAGAGAGACCAATAATATTCTCCCCGGCTAGTCCGTATCAGCAATCAGTGTTCCCATGTTTCAAATCCCCGTCCCCCTCCCAAGGCCATAAGCACAGAGAAAACAATTAAACATTGCATTCAGACGCTTCCGGCCCAGTTTCGCGGATCATCACAAAACCCCAATATTGACATATCACAACAAACTCGCAAATAAAAGCCTCTCAGATACGGTAGAACTCACAGCACGACATTCCACTTTTATCATCTACCGTAGTATTTTCTGTCAAAAACATTCTTTTCAACATTACACGGATTTTCAGTGTGTTCAAAGATCTTGTCGGGAAATCTTGTCAGTCTTTACACAGCAAAATCATGCACACACATGTCATGTGGTCCGTGCAACTGTAAAGGTGTTCCCAAGAAGAAAACCGAAAGATCGGACCAGCAAAACGTACGTGGTCCCTCCCAATTTTGTCGCTACTTCTCAGAATGATGGGAGAAGAGTGAAGCATCGTAGGAACGCTTTTGTAGTGTAAAGAACGCGGCGATACTTCAAAAATGCAACTATTCGTACCCGATAGAACCAACTAAATAAGACATAAGAGGACTTAGGGTCTATTCCAGTTAGGGGGGCATCATGGTGCGGTGACTCCCAAAAAGCTACGGTAACTCTGAGCCAGGGGGAGTGTAGCCAGCCTAGGGGGGGGGGTGAGGGCAGTCACTTGACATGCGTGAGAAGCTGGAATGTTCGAGTTTACATTAGCTCGCCGAGAAACTGCATCATGATGCCCCCTAACTGGAATAGACCCGGGATTCTTTCAAAGCAAAGATAACCTTAGCTGTGCGCATAACCACCTGCTAAGGCAGAGTTGGATAGGGGAGGAGGGAGGAGAAGCGGCACCGTGGCGCAATCTTCAAAGGTACCAAACAACGGCAGAATTTCCATTTTAAAACTCGCGTAGATCCCTCCCTGCAGACGTAACCCCGAACCCCCTTCCTTGCGGAAAATTAGACTGCTGTCGGTAATACGATGTCTTGCGTCGCAATGCCTCCCACCCCCATTCCTTCCCTCCCAACTGCACTTGCGACAAACTTTATTTTCTATGCATTTGTACTTTTCAAAACTTTTTTCGGCGCTATCGCAATATACGGGGACAGCCTCCAGGACTAAGCCTAGGAGAACGGCAGGAATTTCAGAGGAGAGAACGAAAATGGCTGACGCACCCGATTTCTCCATCCTCGCAAAAGCTGGGTTTCTGTGTTTTTCAACAAAACGGGTGCCTTACTTAAGTTTGGAGGAGACACGCTGCGGCGCGGCGCGTTGCCAGCCTGGCATCTTTGCCTCGCTAGAGCAGAGCGCAGGCGACGCAAGCGCGCCGCCGCCGTTGCGTGGTCCCCAGACGAAGCTTTAGCACCAAAAGTATGTTTTACGTTGATGTCAATGACACTGCTACACAATGGCCCATATTTTTGCAATGACGCCTTTTTATCCTTCTATACAAAGAGAATGTTCAAAAATGACTGTTGAGTAACTTATACTGATTAGGAATTAATATCGAACATTGTAATAGTTGAATGGGTAAAAATTACCACAAAGCAAGGCATTGCATCTACTATGAACGTCGCTACATCAGGACTATTCATGCCCACTGCGGACAACGATGTTAAACAAAGGCTTCTGGGTAAAAACTGACACCTGAATTACTTCCGAAACCCTTCAGGAAATCAATTCAACCACCATACTGGTAGTCGGTTTAGTGTCGAATAACCGGCCGCAGAAAGGCTTGGACGGAGCTGTACTGAATGCAAGTTTTCGCTGACGGCGGCACTGTGGGTGAAAAAAGTGCATAAATGAGGCGAGGGAAGAACACAATACCTTTGAATGGACTGTCAGCGAACGAACGACAAAATTGCCATCAAATAGGTCTCATCGCAGAACACAACATACTACTCACACAATAGCTTTCTATAACTCCGATTTGCGCCAAATTATCGCGCCCATCCATCAGCTGTGGGCAACCACATCCCAACCCGGGGCTCTGCACGGGGAATGGAGAGGAACCGACCGCTAGAATTCAAGGAATATGAAATAATCACAACTCACCTCGTCATTGCAGCACCGAGCGTCAGAGCAAAAGTGACGCCAGCAGGCGGCAGATCATTTACTGCCAGCGATCGGGGTCAATCAACCGCCTTAGCGCATTTACGGCATCTTGGCCGCTCGCTTTATTTTAGACCTCTCAGGGCTCGTTGAGAACACCTTTGGGACCCATTTCAACAACTAGGATTAAGTTAGGTTGCGCACTGCATGGACGTACTGTGGATGCGGAATATGGTCGAGTAACATGAGCCACATGTGTTGTCGCTGACCTCAAGCACGATACCGTAATCCGAGGTATTGTTTATCGCATACCGCACGACCTGTCAACAGCTGACGTCACAATCCACTGAGGTAATCCCGGGGTCACGTAATCAGATGGAGTTACTTGGGTGAGAAGTCTGTCGAAGGGCCGATAAACTGTCGGAGCCCTCGGAGAAGTCCCGACGGGGCGATCACGGAAAATCAAACTCTGCAATTCGATCGGTTTCCGATTTTTTTCATCAGGCCTCTATAGGTCGACCAGGGAACACGCGTTCTCTTAACCCAAACTTGGATGTACGAGAAATGGCCAATCGATCTACAAGTGCAAATCAAATGGTTGGTTCCAACGGGGACACCCAAATGGGATACTATAACGGAACTGTTAAGTTTGGGTGTGAAGTTGCGACCCAGATAACTTGTCTCTTTCAAGATTCTAATAACTGAACTTAATATCACGGGTTTATACTACGTGATGGCGCGAAAAACGCGCTCCAATCACCACTTTTGCTCCATTTTTGGAAAATCGATACCGCTACTTAAACTTTTATTTAGTTACAAATACTGTAACTTTTGAGACTTTCAGAACTCGGTAGTGAATTTAGTATTACTGGACACTACAACTCCAGGCACCTGCTTCTTGTGGAATCCTACGAAGATTTGAAAAAAAAACAACTGAAATTTCGCCAAAAATGGTATTGTAGTGCGCTGACCACGAATAAGACATTTGGCTCAGGCCCCTTTTGGTGCCACTTTGGCACCAGTCTTGTCCCGGTTGAACCACAATGGCTCGACCCTGCCCCCCCCCCTCCTCTCCCCGCAGGAAAAGGATTGTTATTTGTGTTGGGAACAGTGAATAACCTCTACGCGCAAGTTTACAACAACAAACTGGGAATTTGGTGAGAACATGGGCTGCACCAAACTGGCGCGAAATAGTACCAAATGGCTTTGGC